CCTATTTTTATCCCCTTTATATTTATATTTTGAATATTGTTAGCTAAGGGTTCCAGGGACATGATATAAAGTATGGGGCTAGGGGACAGCCCTGACATGTTCTGTTTTTTTTTTATATTAAATCAGTTTGAGCCAATACCTTGACCAACCACTCTGACTGATGGATTATTATATAAAGCCATGACAGAGTCAATTAGGCCATCACCAAATTTAAAAGCTCTCAAAGTTTTTTTTCCCAAAAATAGCCAATTGACTCTGTCAAAGGCCTTTTCAACATCAAGGGATAGGAGTAACATGCACATTTGTTTTTCATTAGTATGAAAAAACAAAAAAACAACAAAAAAGGTTTTTCAATTCTTCGTTTATAGTGTACAGCATTAAAGGAACACTGTAGTCACCTAAACAACTTGAGCTTAATGAAGCAGTTTTTGTGTGTAGATCATGCCTCTCAGGTTTCACTGCTAAATCCACTACCATTTAGGAGTTAAATCACTTTGTTTCTGTTTATAAAGCACTTACCACACCTTCCTTGACTCTGATTGACACAGCCTGCATGATAAAAAAAAAACTGGTTTTGCTTTCAATCAGATGCCATTTACCGTAAACAATTTTATCTCTTGCTCTGTAAATTAAACTCTAATTATATACAGGAGGCTCTTGCAGGGTCTTGCAAGCTATTAACATAGCAGCGGATAAGAAAATCTAAATGAAACAGAACTTGCGATAAAGGAAGGATAAACATTAGATGGCTCTTTACAGGAAATGTTTATGGAGGGCTGTGCAAGTCACATGCAGGGAGGTGTGACTAGGGTTCATAAACAAAGTGATTTAACTCCTAAATAGCAGATAATTGAGCACAGAGACTGTAGGGGCATGATCTATACAAAATACTAAAAACTGTTTCATTAAGCTAAAGTTGTTTTGGTGACTATAGTGTCCCTTTAATTAATATGAGGTGGATTTACTATACTCTAAATTATGTATACACACTTGCATATATCTGTATATATATACATTCACACATATATATATATACCCATTTACATTAAAAAAAATACAGAACTACCACTATTATAATTCTTTATCTTCTACAGATGCGTATTTTCAATTCTTAATTCCCATAGTAATGTAAAGTAGAATTTTATACTTTTAGAATTATTTTTGATAATATAATTATATATTACATTTTTGAGTTACTATTACATACTAGAGAAGTTAAATTATTGTGATGGCAGCCAAAACTATGTAAAAAAATAATAAAAAAAAAATAATAATCTTTTCAATTCTTCATTTATGGTGTACAACATTAGTAAATGTGAGGTATTTACTATACTCTATCTTAATATATATACGAAACATTTGTGACAACCTCCTTTTGTGAAAAAAAATAGAGAAGGGAAAAACAAACAAAACACATATATATATAAATTGCTAATTTTCCTTGCCCTTTCCCTCTCTCCTCCCTCCCCCCCTTTTCAATTTGTTAACTCCCTTATTTCAATGTGTAAATCTAATATTATAAGAAACCATTTATTTAATTTAGGTTTATAGTGATAATACTCTAGTTTAATACACATTTAACTTTACAGTGTCTAGACAATTGGCAGTTTAAATCATATTTTTTTTTTTAATGGTTTGATAATGACGTATTATCCACAGCAGTGTACTGCTATGTTATTTCATATTGTTCAGATGTAAGACCATAAGGCCCATGAAAAGAAAGTAAAAAAACTTATCTTTAAGTTGCAAAGAAGTGTGGGTTTCTCAATAATGTATGAGAGAAAAATGCATTGTAGCCATCCTTCCTGAATTCTCTAGGTGTTTACACTAACCCCCCCACCTATATTACTCTAAGGTGTTTATACTACCCCCAACCTGTATTACTGTAAGTGGTTTATACTACCCCCAACCTGTATTACTGTAAGTGGTGTTTATACTACCCCCCCACCTGTATTACTGTAAGGTGTTTATACTAACCCCCCCCAACCTGTATTACTGTAAGGGGTTTATACTAACCCCCCCCAACCTGTATTACTCTAATGTGTTTATACTACCCCCCACCACCTGTATTACTCTAAGGTGTTTATACTAACTCCCCAACCTGTATTACTGTAAGGTGTTTATACTTACTCTACTACTCTGTATATTTCTAAGGTGTTTATACTACTTCTACTCTGTATATTGTGTGTGTTTATAATACCTCTACTAGAGCATTGTAGCAGGGGTTTATACTAACCTCTACCTAGAGCATTGTAAGGGGTTTATATTTACTTCTACTTGTATATTGTAAGGTGTTTTATATTTACCTCTCTATCTGTATATCAAGGTGTTTATACTACCCCTACCTGTGGCTACTTCTTAGGTGGCTTATACTTGGCCTCTACCTGTATACTTCTAAGGTGTTTTTATACTTTCCTCTACTCAGAGTTACTGTAAGGGGTTTATATAACCCCCACTCTGTATTACTTCGTAAGGCTTATACTACTCCCCACCTGTATATCAAAAAGGGGTTTATACTAACCCCCACCTGTACATTTCCAAGGTGTTTACTCTAACCCCCAACCTGTTGTATTACTTAAAGTGTTTATACTACTCCCCCCCCACCTGTATTACTGTAAGTGGTTTATACTAACTCCCCACCTGTATTACTGTAAGGGGTTTATACTAAGCCCCACCTGTGGCTACACTGTAAGGTGTTTATACTACCCCCCCACCTGTATTACTCTAAAGTGTTTATACTACCCCCCTCCCCACCTGTATTACTGTAAGGTGTTTATACTAACCCCCCACCTGTATTACTGTAAGGGGTTTATACTAACCCCCACCTGTATTACTGTAAGGGGTTTATACTAACCCCCCAACCTGTATTACTGTAAGGTGTTTATACTACCCCCCCATCTGTATTACTGTAAGGGGTTTATACTAACCCCCCACCTGTATTACTCTAAGGGGTTTATACTAACCCCCCACCTGTATTACTGTAAGGGGTTTATACTAACCCCCCAACCTGTATTACTCTAAGGTGTTTATACTTCCCCACCTGTATTACTGTAAGGGGTTTATAACCCACCTGTATTACTGTAAAGGGGTTTTATACTACCCCACCTGTATTACTGTAAGGGTTTATACCCAGCCCTGTATTCTAGTGTTTACTCTAACCCCAACCTGTATTTCTAAGTGAACTTTATACTACCCCACCTGTATTACTGTAAATTAGTTTTATACTAACTCCCTACCTGTATTACTGTAGGGGTTTTATACTAAGCCCCCACCTGTATTACTGTAAGGTGTTTATACTACCCCCCCACCTGTATTACTCTAAAGTGTTTATACTACCCCCCTCCCACCTGTATTACTGTAAGTGGTTTATACTAACCCCCCACCTGTATTACTGTAAGGGGTTTATACTAACCCCCCACCTGTATTACTGTAAGGGGTTTATACTACCCCCCCATCTGTATTAATGTAAGGGGTTTATACTACCCCCCCCAACCTGTATGGCCCTAAGGAGTTTATTCTACCCTCCCTCCCCCCACCTGCATTACTGTAAGGTGTTTATACTACCCTGCCACCTATATTACTGTAAGGGGTTTATACTACCCCCCAACCTGTATTACCCTAAGGGGTTTATACTACCCTCCCTCCCCCCACCTGCATTACTGTAAGGTGTTTATACTACCCTGCCACCTATATTACTGTAAGGGGTTTATACTACCCCCAATGTGTATTGGCCAATTCTAAGGGTTTACATATACCCCCACCAGTATTACCCTAAGGGGTTTATACTAGCTCCCTCCCCCACCTACATTACCCTAAGGGGTTTATACTGACCCCCCCCCTCACCTGTATTAGTCTAAGGGGTTTATACTAGCCCCCCCACCAGTATTACTGTAAGGGGTTTATACTACCCCCCCACCGGTATTACCCTAAGGTGTTTATACTACCCCCCAACCTGTATTACCCTAAGGGGTTTATACTACCCTCCCTCCCCCCACCTGCATTACTGTAAGGTGTTTATACTACTCCTACCTATATTACTCTAAGGGGTTTATACTACCCCCAACCTGTATTACCCTAAGGGGTTTATACTACCCCCCCACCGGTATTACTGTAAGGGGTTTATACTACCCCCCAATCTGTATTACCCTAAGGGGTTTATACTACCCCCCCCTACCGGTATTACCCTAAGGGGTTTATACTAGCTCCCTTCCCCACCTACATTACCCTACTGACCCCCCCTACCTGTATTAGTCTAAGGGGTTTATACTAGCCCCCCCACCTGTATTACTCTACAACTATATTACTACCTCACCTCATATTATATACTAGCCCCCCAACCCATATTACTTTAAGGTGTTTTTAATAACCCCCTCACATGTTTATACTAACCATCACATATGTAATACTCTAAGGTTTATTCTTTACAAGCCCCCTGAATGTGTCACGCTAGGGGATTTATACTAGCCATCCTGCCTTTATTACTATAAGGGTGTTTTTACTACCCTCCACCTGTATTACTCTAAAGGGTTTATACTAATCATCTCACCGGTATTACTCCAAGAAAGTTTGTGCTAACCTTTCCACCTGTAGCGGGTTTATATTAATTCCCCACCGATATCACTCTAAGTGAGTTTAAACTAGCCCACTAATATCATTCTCAATAATGTGTGTGAGAGAAATGCATCCTATCCCTCCGACTGTAGTACTCTAAGAGGTTTTACACTGGCCCTCCCACCTATATCACACTAAAAGGGTTTATTCATGTAGGCATCACAAGGCCTAGTTAAAACAAAGTGAGGAGTTTATCTTTAATTTACAAAGATATATTTAATAACATAGTTTCAAGAACCCTACATGATCCTGGTAAATTAGCATATTGGTACCCACCTAATTGCTCTGTCACTATGGCCATATACTTGAACACTTCTCATATTATTTCAAAATTCTATAAACCACATACTCTTTCAAACACCCCAGAAATGATAACGTGTAAGTTCTAGGCAATTTTCAATGTTTAATTCACTGGTGTAATTTTAAGTTATAAGTAGTTGTAAGTTATAAGTGAAATTAAAGGAATGCTAAGTTAATAAAACAATATAAAAATGATGAGTGTTAATATAGATTATAGAGTTTTATTGTGAATAATGTCCATAGTTATTGGCTGTAAATCACTTCTTTGGAGGTACATTTGCAAATCTTGCATGTCCAATGGTGCATAGGGCAACCACGAAGATAGCAAACTCCTGAAAATCCACTTCACAATCACCATTTTCATCCAGATCCTTTAAGAGTTTGTCTGAAGCATCCTTTTCCTTCGCAGCCTAAAAACAAACAGACCAGTGAACATTCATTCAAGGTACATTTATTCATTCAGTAGATTTGTACGTGTGTCTGACATATAATAAAGTAACATATTACGTGTACACAACTTTGAAAGCTGTGCTAAGTTATTTATGCATCAGGATTCTTAATGACTTATTATTATTATGATTATTATGAAAAATACCACCTAGAATATATATAATTATTTCTTTCAAAAACAAGAAAAAAAATGGCAGACTAGGGACTTCTTGACAAAAGAATAACAATATATAGTTTATTGGGTCAACGTTTCAGTTTGACTATGCAAACTTTCTTCAGAATTTTGATAACTGCATATTGTTATTTTTTGCAACGAAGTCTGGAGAGTAAAGTTTTTTTTTGTGAAAGTGGATTGTCTGCTTATTGTTGCACTAGGCCCTAAGCTAAAAAGAGGTGATAGATTTAGATTTGAGTGGCCAGTGGTAAAAATATAGCTTCCTTATAATTTGCATCTACCCTTTTTTGGGATTTGAAATTGTCGAGGTTTGAAATTTATTTGGGATAAATATTGCAATTTTGAGCCAATAATGTGATGGAGGAATTATATGAGAACATTATGGTATGTAGGGGAGGAGATTTAGCACACATACAAGACTGAAACATACATCGGAACACAGGAAAATGACAACAGTTTACATATCAATATATGTGTATCCAAAATATTATTTTCTAGTCTTTAATAATTCTTGTACATTTCATATGAAGGAAAAATACAATTATCATTACAATAACATGTACTATGTACACATACTGACAAAGTAATTATTACTTTCCACAACAAGGTAACAATAGAAATGGTAGCCTTTTTAGGTAAATCCCTTGATAGAGAAGGGTTGAATATAGCATAACACACTTTTGTCATTTATTTAAAAAGCTCCATTATATTCCTCAGTCTGGCATTACACAAAGAACATTTATTGGTTATTTAATAATCATATTTTTATTACTAGAACATATTAATTAATGCTAAACAATTCTGGAGCAAAAAGGAAAAATTAAATGAATCTCATTAGGAACTAATGGAATGTTTCAATGTGTTCCACTAATTTGATACGGTTTGAAACTGTTGTTTTTTATTTCAGATACTGCAGGGAATGTTTTATTTTGTATTTTACTTACTTTCTATTTAGAAAAGTGAAGTAATGAGCTTCCTTCATTATTTGCTCTCAGTAGGCTTATGGTTAAAGGACCACTATAGTGCCAGGAAAACATACTTGTTTTCCTGGCACTATAGTGCCCTGAGGGTGCCCCCACCCTCAGGGTCCCCCTCCCGCCCGGCTCTGGGGAGAGGAAAGGGGTAAAAACTTACCTTTTTTCAGCGCTGGGCGGGGAGCTCTCCTCCTCCGATCCTCCTTCTCTCCTCCCTGTCGGCTGAATGCGCACGTGCGGCAAGAGCTGCGCGCGCATTCAGCCAGTCGCATAGGAAAGCATTATCAATGCTTTCCTATGGACGCTGGCATGCTCTCACTGTGAAAATCAGTTTCTCTGAAACTGCTATGTTTATTAAAAAATGGGTTAACCCTAGCTGGACCTGGCACCCAGACCACTTCATTAAGCTGAAGTGGTCTGGGTGCCTAGAGTGGTCCTTTAAGTTGAATTTTTGTGGCTTTAGCTTCTGTGTTTAACCTGTCCGTTATCAAAGCTAACCAGTTAAAAAGTGATTCGTTCATCATATTTTACTGCTTGGAGTCTATACCCCCCTGATATATTCAGATGACCATAAAATTAGCTGAGATGAAAGGCATTTCAGAAGAGCTACAGTATGAAACTATCTTTCATAACGAAAAGAAAGCCTGGCTTGTCTGTCCCCTGTGAGGAAAAAAGTGAATATTTAACCATACCTCCCAACAATCCCTGATCCAGGATGACTCAGAGAAAATTAAATGTTGTTGCACTGTCAAAACTATATAGTATAGTGTTTTTATACCCTAATTAAAAGGGTTAGTAATCTCTTCAGATGGTTTTTAAAATGTTGACATATCAATGAGGACATATCACGTCCAAATCGAACTGAATAACATTTTTTTTTTTTTTATAAAAATAGAAAAGCTACTATTTATCCAGGCCATGGCTGTGGTTTAATATTTCTTATTGTTTAGTGACCTTGACTTGGCTTAGAGAGAACGTTACCTACATAGTCAGTACAAAATGATATAGTTTAATATTCTTTCAGAGGCAGCAGATTTTCTGAGAAAAGTAATAAGTAAATAGCTCTTCTGTCAGATCTTGTTGTATTCATATTCCCATGTCTGCATCACGTTATCTTTTTCTTGTCTTCTGAGCTCAGGGCCGCCACCAGAAATTTTGGGGCCCCTAATTCAGCTCAGGGTATACATATATACATGCATAGACATACAGACATACATGCATACAGACATACATACATCCATAGACATACATGCATGCATACAGACATACATACAGACATACACATACATACAGACAGACATACATAGACATTCATGCATGCATACAGTCAGACAAACATAGACATACACACAGACATACATACAGACACACACAGACATGCATGCATACAGACAGACATACATACATAGACATACATGCATACAGACAGATATACATACAGAGACAGACATACATACACAGACAGACATACATACGTATATAGACATACATGCATGCCGACAGACAGACATACAGACATACACATACATACATACAGACATACATACAGGCAGACATACATACAGACATACATAGACATACAGACATACATGCATACAGACAGACATGCATACAGACAGACATAGACATACATGCATACAGACAGACATACATACATAGACATACATGCATGCAGACACAGACATACACATACAGACATGCATACAGACACACACACACAGCTCATTTTCCAGCCACCCTCCTGTCTCTTACCTTTTCTTTGCAGGAGGGTGGCTGGGGATGATGGGAGACGGCGCGGCTCCCTCTTCACTGCCTGGCTCTCCCTCTTCACTGGCGCGCGCGCTCCTCCCGTGTGGAGTGGGCTGGGAGGAAGTGACCACTTCCTCCCAGCAGCACTTGCGGCTTTTTTTTTTTTTTTAAAGGGGCCCAGTCAGCGCTGTGGCCCTAAGTGTGTGGGCCACCCGATGGGCCCCACATGTAGGGCCCGGGCTGCCGGGCCCCCCAGGGCCGTCGGGCCCGTGACAACCGTTATGGTTGTCACCCCCTGATGGCGGCCCTGTCTGAGCTCTTCATGTCTCAGGAATCTATTATCTACCTGTTCTAGCAATTACCTCCTCGTCCAGTCTTCAAGTCATCTCTAAAACTTGCATCTTCAAAAAAACTTCAAATATATCTAGAACAACGCCAATTCTCCATTATTCCACATGTGTCGTTGGAGTCATGTTGACAAAGTCCTCCTTTCATTATCTATGGTGCTCACTTTACAGACTAGCTACCCTTAAACCTTGTGCATCTACCCTGCTCCATATATATATATTAAAATTTTACAAATAGATACCCTCCCAGCTTTTTGACAAGTATTTTGCTTACTTCAATGTAGGTGTTAGTAACTTTGTCACAAAATCTAATGATGAAAATCACAGACATTCTATTTAGGTTTCATCATTTCAGTCATAAAAGTAAAAAATAAATAAAACATATCCCACCCCAAACCTCCCCTAACCCCCCATAAAAAAACACCCAATGAATTAAGTGTGGCAGAGTTATGGTTAGGGGTCAAAACACAAATAATATAGTTACACTCAGCAGAGTGATAAATTATCGCACCCATATTTCAGCTCCGGAGGTTTCAATGAGTCCTATCATATCTTCAGTCAAGGGGTGAGTGAGTGGACACTACCATTTTACTGTTAGCATTACATCAGCATTCAAGAGATTAATAATGGTTGCTGTAGCACTTTATTTTAGAAAGAAACATGATTTAACTTATTTACTGTATGTAGGTTTTGTGCTCAGATTCAGGCTTTCTTTTTACATTCTGTTTGCATTTCAAGTAAGCTGTTCTGTTTCTCTTTTGTCTACATGGACCTGACAAATACATATAAAGAAGATTTTTAACCATTTTTATTTATCTATTTTTGTCACACCTAAATATTGCATTTTTGCTTTATACTAACATTTCAGACCCTGTGTGAAATATTGCTATATATAGGACACAGTACACATCTTAAAACTTTTCATTTCCCAAATATTTTTAATGAAGTCTGAATTAATGTAAAAGTAAAACTTGTGTAAATGATATAATTATAATTTTTCTTTTTTCTTTTTTCTGCAAAACACTCCATAGGCAAAATTGCTGTGTTGTGATTTGTTTATATGCTAGCTATGCACCTCGCTTCAAATAAACGTTATGCTAATATTTGTTTTCAAAAATAGCTCTGTAGTGAATAACCCTATCTGCATATTATGGAAATTAATTTAATTATGGATTTTGGTAATGGGTTCTGTTTATTAAACCTGTTTTATGTCAGATATATAATAAATATTCCAAAAATGAGCTCCAAGTTCTGTGAATAAACGAACATCTTACCGAAAATATTCCAGGCAGTTCTTTCTCTACAAGGGTTTTCATTTCACCTTTGGTAAGGGTCGTTTTGTTGCCTTCAGTGCATGCATATCTGTCAAAGACATCCATGATCATGACCATCGCGGTCTCTAGCTCTGACATCTTGGGAACGGGGCCTCTGATTTGATTAAGTGGTTCAATAAGTAAATCAGAAGGAATGTTGAGAGAAGCAATGTTATCCCTTTTATAGGGACTCTATCTTACCTTTAAACCAGTGAGAACATGTTTATCAGAAAGCAAATATTGCAAAACCTGCCATCAGTGTAAACCTAGGTGTAACAAATTATTTTTTTTACATTTATGTTTTATCTGTACTGAGCAACTGTTGACTTTGCTTATTTGGATTTCACTGAATATTAGACACACCTTGGATACACTTGACCCTTGTTTTATGTGTATTAAAATAGTCAAACTAAAATGGCTTAAAGTATTATTATGGGCGTAACACCCTTTTGGACTTAAACTTCTATTATTCTAGTAAGACCTGGTATACACAAATCACAAATGGGAAGTGTGGGACATCAAATAATGGGACATAATACAGCGGGGTATTATAAAAATAATGCTATGACTCACATGATTCCGATATTGCCAGAGAAGATGATTGATTGATGTCATTTGCATAGATTATGGTGGAAGAAGGTCCCCATTTCAGGTCTCCCTGTATATAATTGCAGGCATTTGCAACTATCACTTTTACTATAAGCCCACCCAGTCATTAAGCGCTATAACAGAGGTAAGTCAATATTTCCACTCTGCATGTACCAGTACGACAAAAGCATGCTGTATCAGTACCCATCTACGCAGCTTGCTTTGAAAGAGATTGAGCCACAAGTAAGTGAGCTGTCTCCCGTTACCCAAGACATCCAGTATAAAATGTCATTCTCCCACTCTTACTGCCTGGTTCCATGAAGGTCATTTGGGGATAAACATCACGAGGTTATTGGGTATCTCCATAGAATTTATGATTTTATGAATTATTTCTTCACAATTCCTTTTTAAGAGCACACTCTTTGTTAAAGGTGTCATTTGATGGCATTGTGATACAAGGCAGCCATTTTGAGTGGAATTAGTCTGAAATGCAAATTCTATAGATTAAAGGATCACTATAGTGTCAGGAAAACAAAGCAGGGTTAAAACCCCTACAGCAGCTTACCTTAATCCAGCGCCGGGCTCCCTCGACGCTGGTGACCTCTCCTCCCCGTCCGACGTCAGCTCCCCCGTCTGACGTCAGTGGAGTCGAATTTCCCAATGCTTTCCTATGGACTCTTTGCACTATGGATGCGAAATTTGCATCCAGCGTCGCAGATGCACCTCTAGTGGCTGTCCGGAAGACAGCCACTAGAGGCTGGATTTACCCCAAATGTAAACATAGCACTTTCTCTGAAACTGCTATGTTTACATGTGAAGGGTTAAAACCTGAGGGACATTGAACCCAGACCACTTCATTGAGCTGAAGTGGTCTGGGTGACTATAGTGACTATATATGGGTGACTATAGTGTCCCTTTAACTTTGTAGTGGCACAAACAAAGCTAAAACATGTTTGAGACCTGAACATAGACAGATGACAACCTATAGAATGTTCTCATAAAATCTGGTTTTGACAGGTTTGCATATTTAATAGGGTCTCACTATGTCTAAATTGTAATTCAGGTGTGGGAGCCTTGTTCACTGTACCTAGAGGACTATCATTTAACACCTATCAATGAGGCTACATAGATGCAGAAATGAGCATCTGGAATTAGATGTTAGATCTGTCTGATGGCATTGAAAAGATCACAACTTTTCAAGCATAGAAACAAATAATGTGACGGCAGATAAGAACCATTCGGCCCATCTAGTCTGCCCAATTTTCTAACTACTTTCATTAGTCCCTGGCCTTATCTTATATCTAGGATAGCATGCTTAAACTCCTTCATTGTGTTAACTTCTACCACTTCAGCTGGAAGGCTATTCCATGCATCCACTACCCTCTTAGTAAAGTAATACTTCCTAATATTATTTTTAAACATTTGTTGCTCTAATTTAAGACTACACCCTCTGGTAGTTTTTCTTCTTTTAAATAGAGTCTCCTCCTTTACTGTGTTGATTCCCTCTATGTATTTAAATGTTTCTATTATATCTCCCCTGTCTCATCTTTCTTCCAAGCTATAAATGTTAAGTTCCTTTAACCTTTCCTTGTAAGTTTTATCCTGCAATCCATGAACCAGTTTCGTAGCCCTTCTCTGAACTCTCTCTAAAGTATCAATATCCTTCTGGAGATATGGTCTCCAGTACTGCATACAGTACTCCAAGTGAGGTCTCACCAGTGTCCTGTACAATGGCATGAGCACTTCCCTCTTTCTACTGCTAATACCTCTCCCTATACAACCAAGCATTCTGCTAGCATTTCCTGCTGCTCTATTACATTGTCTGCCTACCTTTTAAGTCAAAGAAAACAACAATATATGTGAACACAACCCCAGTGAAAATAATAAAATATAGGAGCAAACCAAAACTTCCCTTATCTTAAGGTGAAGTATCCAGATGAATCCCCGAAGACTTCCTCTTGTCTTCAATAGATATACACAGAAAAATAGGGGACAATCTGCTAAATACAAATAAAAAACATAACATATAACTGTGTGGAGACTGGTATTGATGTGTGATCACAAATGGTCACTCACAATTTTGAAGAATTAAGATAGCCTTGAATGATGTCTTTATGGAGTTAGAGCAGCTTTAAATGGTGTTATTCAATATCCAGTATGTTGTCTCTCCTCACATATTCATCAGCGAATAGATATGTGTGTCTCAAAAAGAGAAAATGTACAAAAATGTAGTGCACTTCCAGAATATGTTAAAAAATATATTTAATGACTTACATTTAGGTATAAAACAAACAGCATGTCACCATACACGTCCTACGCGTTTCGTCCTGAAATTGGACTTCCTCAGGGACTTGGTGTAATAAAGTGCAATCAGAAATAGCAGCAATAATGACATTAAGTCATCAGAAATAATTACCTCTAAATCTCTTTCTCAGATGTTGCGGTTAGGACTCTATCCAATATTCTGTATTCTGCCCTTGGGTTTTTACGTCCAAGATGCATTATCTTGCACTTATTCACATTAAATGTCAGCTGACCATTTTTCTAGTTTACCTTAATCATTTGCCATTTGGTTTATCCCTCCTGGAAAATCAACCCTGTTACATATCTTAGTATCATCAGCAAAAAGACATACCTTACCATCAAGACCTTCTGCAACATCACTAATAAAAATATTAAAGAGAATGGGTCCAAGTACAGATCATTGAGGTACACCACTGATGACAAGACCATGCTTCGAATATATTCCATTGACTACAACCCATTGTTGACTGTCACTCAGCCATCGTCTTACCCATTCAACAATTTTGGAATCCAAGCATGGCATGGGTGGCATGGGTGGGCTGGCCCTGGGGGGTCAAACTTGCCTCAATGAAACACCTCAAATGGATTGTCTGGTAGCACTTTCTCTAACGTTGTCCTTGTTTCATGATGTTTTAGCACTCAGTTCCTTTGTGTCCCCTGATGTGAAACACCATGGAACCAACCAGGGGTGGTGGGCCAGTGCCCATTTTGCAATGGGGTTAAAATTGGGACTGTTGGGAGACTGGGAAATGGTTCTCTCTAAAATTACAGAAGTGATGTAGAACTCTATGAAATCTGAAATGGGACTAACCAAAGGGCAAGCTACTAAGTTTTTGACTAATCTAAGTGCTCTCAGAAAATCTGTATTAAAAAGTAAAAATCTGTTTTACTAGTAATGGAATATCTTCATTTGTTTCTATTGTATGCTCTGTGCAAGGAAATCCAAGACTACCAATGGTAGGGTGCCACCAAAGATGGAAACTATTGGACTTTTTCACTAACCAGGAATTGTTGAAAACTGGCACACTAATTGCATAGTTACGGAAATACAGACAAGCTGAAACATTAAAGGTGTAAGTGAGTGGCGCTTTCACAGTGTTAACACGGTTGTGGGGTGTGGAAAGGTGTTCCCCAACACCCTAAGGTAACAAAATGGTCAATATGAATACTTAGATGGTAATAGGTACTAAGTGTACACACCACTACCCGTGTATAAACAATACAAGTGTTATATATAACAAAGCAATACTTATGCATATGTAGACATGAATTGATAATTTTCCATATACATGTCCTAAAATAACACAAATGAAAAACAATACATAGTGTATACTGTGGTGACCAAGGAATGAATATAAAGTATATGGATACACTCACAGATTACAGAGCCATGCCAGGCTCTGTATATAATGCCCAAGGGTGCCTGATAGGCTGTATGGAGGGTCCTGGGTGGTTGTACCAATTTTCACAAGGATCAGAAGATGCAGCAGTAATAGTCAAAAATAACAGATTTATTCAAATACAATAAAAATAAAATCCAATGATAAAACAAGCTGTGTAAGTCCCTGAGTGATGACACAGAAGCTGTAGTGCATGCAGACGCGTTTCAACTCCGTCTGCGTTTTCATCAGTGCATGAAGACATCTTTCAGCTGCTCTCCTTTTGAATCCGCCGCTTGTGGGACTGCCGATCCCTGAGAATTGTTCCAGTTTTATTACATTTGTCTAAAATGCAATTCCTCTGTCAGTTATACTCCATTTCTGATGTAGTGCAAAATCCCAAAAGCTTCAAACTAGGAATAAAGACATAAGCTCTGTAACATGTTAATCAACATATTTGATTATTTTAGTTTCTCTTTCTACTTTTTTTTTTTTTACACAGTAAAAATATATGGTATTATAATGTGTTGTTTCTAGTGTGATATTTCCATGTGATTCGGGTTTAGCCACTCTATCACATGCCATATAAAATTATTATATTTATTTATAAAGTCACATCATATCTTGCAGTGATTTACAACTATAGAATAGGGATTATTGACAACAGGTAATTGAAAATGAAAATATTACTAGAGGCAAGAGGATTAGAAGGTGGAGAAGAAGAACGCCCTTCTCAAACAAGCTATCAATCTACGAGGAATAGCTACAAGAGGAATAATAGCATGTCAGAGAGGAGGAGGTATTGAAGAATAATATATTTATGTCAAAATAAGGTCGTAAGAGTGGTGTGAGAGAGAACTGAACAGTTGAAGGAGAGAGTGAGCTGGGCAATGGAGGTGAGGGTTTTGAAGAGGACAACTGAAATTAGAGTCACCCAGTAATATGGCA